TGTCCCTTTAGGAGTATGATAAATCTGATACAGACACAGAGGCATCATCAGCATTACAAAGAAGTGTGGTCTCAACACCATTCAGACTAAATCAACCTCCAAATAGAATTACTAGAGTAGAAATTCGTACAATTGCACACACTGTCCAACTGCCCGGAATGCTTTGGGGACAACTTTATGCCGTGGCGTGTTTATCTCGTTGCCGCACGGCCAGGTAAGTCCCGGTAGTGAGTGTAACTTGTCTTAACGACTGTGTAAGGTAGGTATAGGGGGTAGATAGTCTTTGTTGAAGTTTATCCTTACGGAAAACATGTTTTAGCCCTTTTCAGATTGTGCTTATTTTAAGTTTAGTGATAGACCTCTGGGCATAACTTGACACACGAAGTTTAATACTGCGTCTAGTATACACTGTAAAGTTATTTTGCAGTTTTTTACTTACTTTGTAGAGCTCTGACATTGCGCTGCCTATGTTATTAATCATAAGTCCGGGAACTCTGGCCTCAGGAGCCTCATGGCCCCCCTTTTCAAGCAGCAGGACCTTGAGGAAAAGAGATTTCGATCACACTCTGTCTCGAAAGAAAAAATTATTACCTAGAGCGGAAAATTGTGCAAGCGTGGTATACAGAAAATCATATGCTGCAAATACAATCAGGTTAGTACGTTTTATCGTGCAACACACGCACCTTGGTAGCAGGATCTTCGGACAACCTTGCTGCCAGGACACTCCCAGCGGCCCCGCCACCAACCACAATGTAATCGTATTCGGTCCTCTCGTCTCTTTCTGCAAACAGGGAACAGCAACAGCTTTATGGAGAGCATGTAAAAGCAAACGTCGTAAATCAAAGTCAAATCCAGACAGCAAAATCGGGGATTGTAGGAAAAATATTCCGTGATTAAACCGGATCCAAAGAAGAACACCAGGAGACCGATGTATACAAAAAACAACAGCATACTCCTTGAAGTGCTACTCCTCGCAATCAACGACTTTGTGGATAATTTGCTGCATAGCTCTGCATAAATCAGTGCATGCTTTAATACGCACAAAAGGTACTATTTGACAACGCTTTAATAATCTTGGCTAAGTCCAACGATTCATCCGTCCGTCATTTTTATAAAGACCAGAACTGCCTTCTAATCGCCCCCACCCTCCGTCCCTCCCTTCTTCTCACCCAACTGTTTCCTGTCTTGATTATTCTTTTCTTTCTCATGAAACCTAACCTGAAATGATATTTTAATTTTAGCGTATCAACTTTATCCATTTTTTAAACGGACCCGTTTCTGCCAGACAGTTGGGGCGCGCGGGGGAGCAGGAGCGTCATGGTTCAACACCACCTGTTGAGCAGCTCCACACCCACATTACGTTACGTCTTACGTTACGTCTTACGTTACGTCTTACGTTACGTCTTACGTTACGTCTTACGTTACGTCTTACGTTACGTCTTGCGTTACGTCTTA